TAGAGAAATACAAATGGTAAACAAAGGTTGCGTGTTCTTTTTCATTGTTTACACAATGCAATGTGATTTTTAAAAATATTTTTAAAATTTACATAAAGATGGTACAGAAATTAAATGTAAATTATATATATATAAAGACAAGATTTTAATGACTAGTAGAAATAAAAACTACTCTAGCTGGGATAAAAGCTACCCTAAGATATTTTTTATATCTTCCAGGTTTTAAAGAGCCGAGAGTTTTTTAAAAATCTACTCTTCTGGACCAGCAGCTGGCGTAATCCCTATGTTGCTGGACTCCCATGTAGTTGACTACGTTTCAAGTCTTTGACCCAGTGGCTTAAACTCACACTGGGTGCGTGTGCATGCATGCCCAAAATCCCAAGAGGAGAATGGAGGAGAAGGGATCGTGGCGTGGCCATCCCCCCGGGGGGTGATTTCTCACTTTCTGTCTCTCTGTCCTTCTGTCTTTCTGGCAACTGCATGCCCTATAGTAAAAACCTCTCCAAAAAAAACACAAATAAATAATCTGCTCTTCTGAAAGAGTTGAAGGAAGCAGGAGCTCTCATGTTTTTGGTGAGAGGAAAGATTAGAATCAACCTATGGAAGGAAATTTTCAGTATATATCCAAATTATCAATTATCAACCACCTCTCACATCAATTCCATGTAGAGTATATTAGCCAACATGTGGACTGTTTCTGAAATATTTGTACTAAATTTTTAATTGCACTCTTCTTTATGACAGTAAAGGTTTGGTACAAATGAAGTGATCATGAATAAAGTACTGCACAAGTTATGGCACACCTATGCGGTAAAATGGTATGTAGCTGTAAAAGAAGAAGAAGTTATACAACAATCCAAGAAACTCGTCCAACCCTGAACAGAAGAAATGTAAGTTAAACCACATAGGGTCCATTATAATTAAATTTCTGAAAATTGATATTAAAAAGAAAATATGAAATCAGTCAAAATTATTGAACTGCCAACAACATAGCAGGTGCCTGTCAATTTCTGCTCTTGTAGCATCTCTCTCTGCTTCTCTCACTCTCCCAAGAAAGATATAAACTTTAAAAATAGATAAATAAGTAAATGATAGGGAGATAGAGCATAGAGAAGAGTGGGTTATAAGGAGGAAGAGAAGCAGCTGAATACGCCCCCTTTTCTCTTGTGTTCTTTTTTTCTGACAAAGGACAGAACTCTGAGCAGGGGAAATAGTTCACCTTTAAATGATGTTCAGCCATCTATGTCTCCCAGGAAAATTCAACATAAAATTTTTCACAGTCTTGGTATGGACGATGGCTTAAGATTGGATAACTAGTTATGAAAAAACGCATATTCAAATTTGGCATGTCACCTTGCACCTCTTGTGAATTGTGATATTTACAATATCTCGACATTTTGATTAAAATTCCAGATTAGGCATTCAGCTGAACATGTGAAGAAATGATGCACATCGACCTCACACCCATACCACCTACATGGCGCTGTCGCACGTAGTCGACATAAACTCACACAGGGCGCATATGCGTGTGTGCCCAAGATCCCAAGAGGAGAATGGAGGAGAAGGGATTGCAGCGTGGCCATCCCCCCTGGGGGGTGATTTCTCCTTTTCTATCTCTCTATCTCTCTCTGTCTTTCTGGTGAGTGCACGCACCCTATAGCAAAAAACTCTCAAAAAAAAAAAAAATCCTCAAATGTCATGTGAAAAAAGGGAATGTATTTCTTACTGTGAAGGTGTAAGTTGGGCTGCTCTAATAGCCCTGCTGTAATGACGGTGAGTTTAAGAACGTTCATTAGATCTGGGCTGAAGGCTCCAGAGTGTCAGGACTCCTTCCAAATTGCTGGTCCCCAAACACATACTGGTACATCATCTTTGTGGTCCTGTGGACTCCAGCCACATCAGCATTCCAGCCTAAGGAGAGAGGAAGAAGGAAGGGGAGACCACTCTCCTTCCATTAATCCTGTGGCCCAGGATCAGTTACTTCTGCTCCCTTCCCATTGTCCAAAGCCAGCCACCTGTTGCCATCAGCATCAAAGGAGGCTGGGAAATGAGATCCTTTTCCTGAATTATAAGTTTTCGAATCACCGTGTTACAGAAGAGGATATTGGAGGAAATGCCGTCTCTACAGCCTCTAGTGGTCTCAGACTGCTCACTTGAACACTTTATGAGAGCTTCTCAAAAGCATTTAACGATGGAGCAGAAAAGTGTGGGAAAGCCTGAGACAGGTCTCCAGGAGACTGGTATCGGGCATCTCATCATGGTTTCATCTTGGGGGCATTTCTTTGGCTGTTTAAGAGGAAAAAATACAACAGTTGCCCTCAGGAACACAGTCTAAATATTGGGGATACAACAGTGAATGAAAACAGGCATGCCATCGTGCTTATGGAGGTTTAGCAATAATGACAAGACACATATATTGTACCCTTATAATAGATTTTGAGTTGTTGTCTTCTGTGAGTGGGGAGAACAGAGGCTTTGGTTTCTCATATCTGTTTATGGCCAAGTAAGATGGACAGCTTGTCTCTGTGAGCGCTCATGATAGGTGCACTTGTCCCTCTGCACCCTGTAGAAGGATGTGTCTTTCTCCTACATGGGGGTCTCCTGTCCACGTGAGTCCTCTGCCTTTCAGTGAGATTTCTGTCTTGTGAGGCAGGAAAGTACTCCTGGATTCCAATATCTGATGTTTGTTTATGGGTTTTTGTTTGTTTGTTTTGTGGGGTTTGTTTTTTTTTTTGGCAATTCTGACAGAAATCTTAGATTTATCTGGAGAATTACTCCTGTGTTTTCCTCCCTCTGTCTGTGATTCAAGCACAGCAGTGTGGGTGCAGAGGGTTAGTCAAAGGGTAAACCCTGAGGCAATACCACAGTGTGTTAGACCAGGGCTAATCATTCATGTTCTTTGTATTTTAATTCCATCCTCTGCAAAATAGAATACTAAGACTAGTTCTTTCCCCTTAGGGCTCTTAACAGAATAAAAAGAGATCATTCCTGGGGACCAGCAGTTAGCGTAATGGCTATGTCGCTGGACTCCCACGTAGTCGACTACGGTTCGTGTCCCGGACCCGGTGGCTTAAACTCACGCTGGGCACGTGTGCATGCGTGCCCAAGATCCCAAGAGAAGAATGGAGGAGAAGGGATTGCGGCGTGGCCATCCCCCCTGGGGGGTGATTTCTCACTTTCTATCTATCTGTCTCTCTCTCTCTCTGTCTGGTGAGTGCACGCGCCCTATAGCAAAAACCTCTTAAAAACAAACAAACAAACAAAAAGAGACAATTCCTGGTAAACTCCCCACCAGTTGCTCTTACACCAGGTCTGAGTAAGTCCTCTCTCTGCAGCTGAAATCTGCATGAACCTTGTTTATACTGTAACTCCTGCACTGCTCTGTCTCCTCCGTAAACTACTCTCACACAAAAGCTTTTGTCAGCAAAGGAAACTCTACTAAAGATACTATAGGAGAGAGAATGGAATAGGGTCATATTGTAAAGATCACAGCACACCACTTAACAGTCCTCCATAAATATTTCCATACTTCAAATACCTCTTTCGGTGGCATTTACACCTCACCCTCACTTACTCCTTCCTTCTCTACTGCTGAGCAATTCAGCTCACACCCGAACCCTCCCTCCTCACCAACAGGCTTCTATGTACTCAGCAAATCCTTACTGAGTCCTCACTTCAAAGGGACAGCAGTAGTCAACCTGAGTTATTTGAGCATGCAATTCTCTAAATACAAACAAGTTCCATGAAAAAATAATTGTATAAATGAAATTTTGTTTCATTATATGTGTGTTCAAATGCTCTGAACTGTGTTTTTATTTTTGCTTCAAGTTTAACCTATATATACCTCTACTGTTAGATTCCTAATTCACGCATGCAATCATTAAATAAATAAATAAATTCATGCACTGTGCTGTATGCAGAGGTAAGCACTGAATGGAAAAAGCACTGCTGTCTTCAGTGGCTGACACACTGAGCCATCTGTACTCCAGCAGGTACAGCCATCCTCACACCTGTTTCAGAGGAAGATTCCATTCCCCTGAGGTCACTAAGACATAATCTTCTTTCTCATTAATGAATGGAACCGTCTTAGTCATAGGCATGTCATGATCACCTCTTTTTCTCTCTGAATTCCTGCAACTGAGAGAGTGCTGGCGCATGTAGGGTAATACTTGGGTCTGTAACTTAGCTTGTCAGGTGGACTTTTTGAACCATAGAGTACTCTCATGTCAGTAGAGGATCTGAGTTCAAGGACAGAGGCACAGGCTATAAAGCCAATAAGGTTTGAGTTTGAATCTTGATTTGGGAACTGTGCGTCTCTTGATAGGTTGCTTAATCTCTGCAGTCTTCTGTTTCCTTCTCTGGAGAACAGGGACACATAACAGGATGTGAGAATAAGACACATAGCAGGGATATATAGCATGCCTCTGAGAATCCATGTTCATATATTAGATTCTGAAGTCTTGATTTTGTTCTCAGGAGCACCAGTGCAGTATCTGTATGCCTGGAGAATGTGATTTATGTCAGATATTTGACAACGTGATATTCACACGGCTGACTGTGTTATTGTGGTTCTCCTCGAGTCTAACCTGGCCCTGGTGATGATTCCTAACGCACTGATTCTCGTCAATGCTCCAGTTGTGCCGGCAGGTAACAGGGTCTTGCTCTGGCTCCTGGCCTTCCGCCTGCACACGACCACATACTCCACTTACATCCTCACTTTGGCTCTGGCCGACTTTTTCTTTCTCTGCTACTGATTCCTAACACACTGATTCTCATCAATCCTCCAGTTGTGCTGGCAGGTAACAGGGTCTTGCTCTGGCTCCTGGCCTTCCGCCTGCACACGACCACATTCTCCGTCTACATCCTCAGTTTGGCTCTGGCCGACTTTTTCTTTCTCTGCTGCTTATTTATGTATTCCCTAAAAGAAGTCATTAATATCATACATTTGTTATCTTTGTCCTTCTCCAGCTTATTAACTGTGATGCTCTTTTTATACATAGACGACCTGACCATTCTCAGCACCATTAGAACCGAGCACTGTTTATCTGTCCTGTACTCTATCTGGTACCATTGCTACCACCCAAGCCACCTGTCAGCCACTATGTGTACTCTGCTCCGGGCCCTGTATCTGATACTGGCCATCCTGGAAGTGAGATACTGCATCCTGTTTTGTAAGCCCGGGAAATGTGAGCTATGGCAGGCACTTGACGACGTGGTATTCACACGGCTGACTGTGTTATTGTGGTTCTCCTCGGGTCTAACCTGGCCCTGGTGATCAGGATCCTCTGTAGCTCACGACAGATGCCACTGACCAGGCTGTATGTGACCATCCTACTCACAGTGCCGACCTTCCTCTTTTTGGCCCATCCTTCAGCATTCATTGGTTCCTTTTGATCTGAATTCACCCTTCATATCATGAGATTTCTTATCTTATTTCTCCAGTTTCACGTGTTCTGGCCTGTGTTAACAGCTTTGCCAAACCCCTTATTTATTATTTTGTTGGATCCTTTAGGCAGTGGAGGGGCCGTAGCCTCAAGCTGGTTCTCCAGAGGGCTTTGCAGGACACTCCTGAGAGGAGTGAATGTGTGGGGGCAGCTTTCAGCGGGGAACCCCGGGGGTATCTGAAAGCAGACTGGGAGAGTGACAAAGAGCTCCTACCCTGGTCAGTAGGTTGTGACTGAGAGTCAACCTTTCCTGCCAGGCTTGACAATGATCTGCTCTTCTTCCAGCCTCATGCCTCTGAAATGCCCAGTGCTTCCATAATGTCTTCAAAGAGATTTCTTTTAACTTAATTTTCTTTTTGCTTTTCTTAGAGGAAGCAGTCTGAAATAAGAAAATCTCCTTCCTTCTTAACAATACCAGTGAATTAATCCTGTTATCTGCCTCTAAATATTTTATATTAAATGCTTTGCCATTTTTTGCTATAATGGAAAGAATTCTGTCAATAGCCATAAACCTATTATTTATTGCTTTTTTCCCACTTGAGAGTATAGAAAAAAATCTATTCCTTATTTTTGTTGTCAGTTGATGTTCCCCTGACAATCATGTTTAGTTCTATTAATGGGTCATAGCTGTAGTTAGAAATCTGGTTCTAAATAAACGAGCCTTGTTACTTGTGACTCTGAGTTCTCTGGGATTGGGGAAAATAAAGTCCTCAGAGGGAGACTGTCTCCCTGCATAAGAACAGTCCAAGAAACTGGGTTTATGACAAGTCCTGTGGTGGCATTTGTCAGTAGCATGGTGACAAGGTGGTTGTGGATAATAGTATGAATACCATGGCTTTTGCCATTGATAAAGTGTAAGTGGTTATTTAGCTCTTTACACAAGAGTTTAAGGTCTAGATATTGTGGAGATACAAAATTTATTTATAAAAGAGTTTACTATCCTCAATTAAAAAGAAGAGTGGGAGAACGAAGAGGAGGAGAAGGTTGCTGACTAGTCTGCTTACTGGTTACTCCATGGTGCCACAGTGTGCACAGTTTCTTTTCTCTGAGTCACAGAAAACTAATAAGTAGATTTCCCTACTGAGCATTTTGAGTCTTAAGTTTATCCAGACTACATGGCTGATATCAAGACATTCTTTCTCAAGAAAATTCCAGAATTCCTGTCTCTCTTAGGGCTGACCACATATCCTGCTAAATGGATAACTACCCACTACCAACTTCAGATGGTTTCTGCTAATAAATATTTAGCAAGCTCTGTCCCTTAAGACCCTAATATTAGCTTTCTGTGACTGAGAGAAAAGAAACTGTACATACTGTGGGATCAAGTTGTTCTGGCCAACCCAGCCTAGGATGAAAAATGTGGAATCTATGGGAACCAACTGGTGGGTCTGCTACTTTCATTTAATGTAAACACTTTCCTAACAACTTTTATGTAGTGTACCCCATTTTACTGAAAAATCTTGCTTTCTCAGAATAAGCAGAAATGTTTGTTACCTTCCTCTGCTTCTGCTGCTCCTGATTCTAACTACATTCCCCAGGTTCAGGCCCTTATTTTACGCCTGTTTATGAGACCAGTACATTCCCTTTTCCTTGTAACTTTTTCAGTTATTGTTTTTTGCTTTAAAAAAAGAAAAAGAAAAAATTCCCAGTTGAAATCCTGGGATACATAGAAATGTAGAGCTTCTGAGTGCTAGATGGGGAAGAATACTGGGCCTGGAGTCAGAGCACCTCTGCAGACTCCATGACTAACTGGCTCACATGCTCATCCTAGGAAACCCTGGCAGATAGTGTGGCTATTGAGTTGCTAAATCAAAATCTTATGCTGTTAGTGGTCTATCTCAAATAGTGGGGTTTGGCTGTAGATATGAACGAAAGGTAACTCCCAGTGTTAGTCAGGCAGCCCAGAAGTTCCTGTCTCTGAACTGTGACTGTAATCACATGAACATAGGCTCTTCTCACCTGTGTGGCAGCAACCTGGGTGTAGGCGAGGCTGCTCTGATACATGGTGGTGCGGTAAGCACTGGACACCAATACCATCAATGCACAGCTGCTGTCTATAAAAATAGGTGCAGTTTGGTTTCTGTTTTTCAGGAGCCTATACTGAAAGAGATCTACTTAGGCCTATAATACTTGTGCAATTGGGTCTTAATCCTTCCATATGTAGGCCTGAAAAAGGGAGCAGAGAAGGACAACATTTTGTTAGTAAGAGTATATATGGTGGTAAGTTAGGAAATGCTTTTTGAAATACTAGAAATTTAAAATGATGACTCTACAATTTACCACACAAGTGGAGGAGGGACTAGAATGGCTGCTGTCAGAAACTCACATGACCTGCTGGAGTAACAAGGATGTCAGGGCAGTGGCAAAAATGGGGCAGCCATTATGAGTCATCTCATTTGACCACTGAGGCCTAGTTAACAGTGAAATGAAAGAAAGGAAATTGGAGGAGGAAGTACAATTGGAAAAAGACTGTCCACACCCCTATCGGTTTCTGGTTTGGTGGATAAACTTAAGATTCAAAATGCTCAGTAGGGAAATCTACTTATTAGTTTTCTGTGACTCAGAGGAAAGAAACTGTGCACACTGTGGCACCAAGCTGTCCTGGCCAACCCAGGCTAGGATGAAAAACGTGGAATCTATGGGAACCAATTGGTGGGTCTGAAGAAGACATAGTGGTGATAGGAGAGGAGAAAAATATATACTCTTCCATTTGCAGCTAGACATCTTGTGCAGGAGTCCATCAAGTACAGAAGGGAAATAATGGGCACCGGTTCAGGAGATGCCAACCACCTGGGAACATATATCAGCAAGATTATTAGACCTACCCATCAGGGACATTTAAGCTCATGCCAGGAGAAAGTTTAACAGCATAGATGATGCAACTCTGAAACACTGAGAGAAACAATGATTTTTTAGCCAGTAATGAGCCTGAAAAGACAGATAACATCACCTCTTTCCCAGCCTTAGGAAACAAAATAGGGGATATAAAAACTGCGTATATGAGAGGAGGCTCTTCCCTATGCTTAACAGATCAGTCCCCATGATGCTCATAATGTCCAGGGAATCATAACCTTATGGTCTGTAGTATTATTGCAAAGGGAGAGTCCTAGAAAAATGAGGGTTATTCCAATTTACATTCCCACCAGTAGTGTAGGAGAGTTCCCCTTTCACCACATCCCCACCAGCACTCATTATTATTATTTTTTTAATCTTAGTCATTCTGACTGGGGTTAGGTGGTATCTCACCAGCCACCATGGAGAACAATATGAAGATTCCTCAAAGATCTACAAATAGAACTACCATATGATCCAGCAATCCCACTCCTTGGTATCTACCCAAAGGACAGAAGTATCCTTATTCAGAAAAGGCTTGCACATCTATGTTTATTGTGGCATTATTTACAATTGCTAAGACATGGAACCAACACAAATGTTCATGAACAGATGAATAAATGGAAAAGTGTGGCCCGTATACTCTATGGAATTCTACTCAACCATAAAAAACAACAAGACTCTGGCTTTTGACAGAAAGTGGCAGAATATGAAAGATTTACTGCTGAGTGAACCAAGCCAGGCTATGAAGGAGAGACATTGTTTATCTCCACTTAATATATACAGAGTGTCTGCACTCTATAGCCAAAACTGAATGACTAGAGGATATAGAAGCATAGGAAATGTTATAGATACCAGATACAGTGTGGGAAGAGGGTGGGTGAAGGAAGAGAGTCTGAGGAAGGACCTGAAGGAGAATAATAGAGAGGCAAGGCATTTATGAGACAAAGAAATAGGTTATTATCTGTTGAAGATTACATGTATAGCATTCTCAACTGGACTGGTGAAAATGTATACATGTTGGAATATTCACTTTGCAAGCTAAGTGACATATGTGATTGAGTGCATAAAAGAAATTTTTTTTAAAAATGAGGGCTATTTCCCTGGCCAGACTAAAGCCTGATAAGCATTAGAGGAAGTACAAAGCATATTAAGAGCATTGGGCATGAAAAAGGCAGTAATGGGAACCAGCAGTTAGCGTAATGGCTATGTCGCTGGACTCCCATGTAGTCGACCGCGGTTCGCATCCCGGACCCGGTGGCTTAAAACTCACGCCAGGCACGTGTGCGTGCATGCCCAAGATCCCGAGAGGAGAATGGAGAAGGGATTGCAGCGTGACCATCCCCCCTGGGGGGTGATTTCTCGCTTTCTGTCTCTATGTCTCTCTCTGTCTGTCTGGTGAGCGCACGCACCCTATAGCAAAAGCCTCTCCAAAAAAAAAAAAAGAAAAAGGCAGTAATATACACCCAGTTGTTTGAAAGATTTGATCAAAATATCTTTATAGCAAAGATGAAAAATAAACTGCTATAGAATACACCAAGGAAATGGCATGACCCCCTAATCTCACTTCTAAATTTATTCACAGGACAGGGAGTTCTGAGTGACCCTACTCGGGGATTAGGACCACTGAAGAACTTCTGCCCAGACTTCACCATCCTGCCTACCAGATCTACCCAGGAGCCAGGACATGCCAATCACTAGCCATCTATATCTAAGTTCTGAGCAGACTCTTTGGTGCTATGCAGTTTTCAATTTTTGCTTAAACAATTTTCTCTTTTTTATTGTCTTTGTCTTAGTTTTTCTCTTTTCTTTTTTTCTTTTTCTTTTCTTTCTACCTTTCTCACTTTTCTGCTCAGCCTCCACACACTGATTTTCTAGACAGGTCTAGGTGCTCAGTAGCCAGATACCTGAATACTTTTAGGGTCACTGAATCCTTAATTTCCATTGAATCTACTACACAAAGGTAGAAAAATGGTTTAGAGATTGCAGGTCACCTCCTCCTGCATGCCTCTGAATGCTCAGATTTAGCTACAAAAACTAGGAAATAACACATAATCCATCAGATGACCAGAAAGCACCACAGAGGCACAAGAAATATGAGAAATCAAGAAATATCTCTCTCCTAAGGGAAAAGAATAACTACTTATCTTCCACAGACAATGCAAGGGAGTATGTGGAAATGTCATATAAAGAATTTTAAATATTCATACTGACAAAGCTAACAGAGTTGCAAGAGAAGAGAGGCAATGAACTCCAGAAGATGCAAGAGAAAAGAGACAATGAGTTCCAGGAGGTGAGGAAGTTCTTGCATGATCTGAAAGAGGAAATACACATCATAAAAAAGAAACAAACAGAATTGTTAGAGATGAAGGTTGTAATATAGGAGATCCAAGCCTCACTTGAAAGTATTAAAAGCAGATTAGATCATGCAGAAGATCAAATCTCAGATGTATGAAATAGAACCTCTGACCTAGAAAAATTCACCAAAGAGATTGAGAAAATAACCTTTAAAAAATGAGAATAACATACAAGTAATACTAGATACCATTTAATGCCCAAACATACAAATCATCGATACCCTGGAAGGTGAAGAAACTAATAAGGTCATTGATAATCTATTCCATGAAATACTGCAAGAAAACTTTCCAAATCTAGAGAGGCATCAAATATCCAGATCCAAGAAATACAAAGGACCCCACATAGAATCAACCCAAGAAGATCTTCTCCAAGGCACTTTATATTCAGATTGACCAAAACCACAGACAGAGACAATTTACTAATTTTTGGAATAGAGAAACATCAAGTTACTTTCAAAGGATATCCCGTCAGGCTAACATGGGATCTCTCATAGGAAATAATGAGAGGAAGGAAAGAATGGGAAAATATAATCAAAGTGTTTAGCAAAAAACAATTTCAACCAAGAATACTATACCCAGCAAGATTATCTTCATATGAGAAAAAAAGACAAAAATATTCTCAGATAAACAAAACCTGAAAGAATTTACCAACACCAGACCAGCTCTTCAAGAAGTGCTGAAAGGAGTGCTAGACCATGAAAACTAAAGGCACATATACAGAAATAAGAGAGCAAAAAGGACAAAGAAAATGATCAGTTTAAAGCTAGGGACAAGAAATATCAATAATAATGCTGAATGTTAACTTCCAGGATTTAAATGAAAAGATCAGACCACAATAACACTGCAAATTCAACAGAAGAGAAATTAAGTACATAAGACTGAACTGGTGAAATAGAAGATTAATTACATGAGACTGAACTGGTAAATTTTTTGACTCTAGACTAAAACATTACTGATTTTCTTCTATGCTTTGATTTCCAAATTTAAGTTTTTTTGTCTTCTCTTGAAATGTTGATAGGTCAGGAACCAGCAGTTAGCGTAATGGCTATGTCGCTGGACTCCCACGTAGTCAACTGCGGTTCGCATCCCCAACCCCGGGGCTTGGTGGCTTAAAACTCATGCCGGGCGCATGTGCATGCGTGCCCAAGATCCCAAGAGGAGAATGGAGGAGAAGGGATTGCGAGGTGGCCATCTCCCCTGGGCGGTGATTTCTCGCTTTCTGTCTCTATGTCTCTGTCTGTCTGGCGAGCACACGCACCCTATAGCAAAAATCTCTCCAAAAAGAAAAAAAAGAAATGTTCATAGATTCATCTACCTACTATTTGAATGGAAACTTAGCCTTTTTCCTGGCTTTAAGTCTTAAGCAAATTTCTCTTAACAGTTATTTATTTTGATCTATTAAAATAAAACTGTTTTTCTTGAAATTAATATCTATTTATTTTTTTCTTTTCTTTTATTTTAATTTCTTTTATAAATTCAATCACATATGTCACTTAGCTTGTAAAGTCAATGTTCCAACACTGAATACATTTCTCACCAGTCCAGTGGGGATAATATATACATTATCATCAACAGATAACAATCCATTTCTTTGTACCATAAATGTTTTGCCTCTCTATTTTTCTCCTTAATGCCGTTCCTCAGACTGTCTTTCTTCTTCCATTCTCTTCCCACACTGTATTTGGGATCTATTACCATTTTCTATGTTGCTATATCCTGTAGTCATTCACTTTCATCCACAGAGTGTGGGGAGTCAGTATATATTAAGTGGAGACATACAGTATCTCTCCTCCATAGCCTAGCTTGCTTCACTCATCAGTAAATCTTCCATATTCATCCACTTTCTGTCAAAAG